TGATAAACTGTCATTTTTTGAGAGTAAATTTTTAAGAATTCATATTAGCGATTTTTTTAAACAAAATCTAAGCACGGCACAGGATTCATCACCCCTCAAATCGACCCTACATTAAATTTTATTGAAAAATTTTAAGTAGAAAAATGCACAATACTGCCGTGCTTAATGAAAACGCCGTAACCAACAATTTTGAGATTTTTGTTTTACGGCATTTTCTACTAGAAAAATTCATCCTGCGTCTATCCCCGGTACTCAAAAATATATATGAAATATAGATACGGTTTTTTGAGTACAGGGGATAGACGCAGGATGAATTGTTCTAGTAGAAAATGCCGTAAAACAAAAATCTCAAAATTGTTGGTTACGGCGTTTTCATTAAGCACGGCAGAATAATAACAACAAAATTTTATTCTGTCAAGTTATCCATGAAAAAACATTGAATGTCGTTTTGAGGGGTGGTGAATCTAGTGCCGTGCTTAGATTTTGTTTAAAAAATCGCTAATATGAATTCTTAAAAATTTACTCTAAAGAGTGACATAGTAGGCCTTGTATTTTGTACTAATATGGCGTATTTTGCTCCAAAAATACAGTTTATCAAGATCTACACTTTAAGACAAATCAGGTTAAAATCGCACAATAAAGATTTTACAGGGGTGAGTCGGAAACAAATGGGTCACACTGTATATATATATATATATAAATATATATATATATATATATTAAATTTTCGTAAGGTTAAAATCAAAGACGATTTTATAAATAAAAGTAGATAAACAAGTTTGAAGAAATTTATTTAAAAAAACTTTATTATTAGCGAATAAATAGGTACCTACTTTTATTTTAGTCAAAAAATTTAAAAATAATAAATTGGTACTAGCCAAACTTATTGATGAGTTCTGGTTAAATCCCATTATCCTTATATGTATATATATGGTTGTCTTATTTCTTAATATCCATTGGCTTAATAGCTATGGCTTTAACATGTTGGTCCTAGAAAAAAAATACAATTAGACCATTTAAGGACTGCAAATTTTATGTTTTTTATTTTTTTAAATATCAAAAATATTCCTAGTTTTATTTTACCTAATAGATGCGTTAGAATTTTAATAATACCTAGCAATTTGTTGATATACAGGGTGATCCCCTATAATGTCGCCCCCCTTTAACTTTTTTATTATAAGTGTCCCAAAAAAATTAAAAGTGTGGTTATGTAGGAACTAAAAAATACTTTTTTTCTACGTATAACGAAAATTTTAAAATTGATCAGTATACAGGGAAAAACAAAAAGTTTATTTTTTTTCAAAGGATCACCCTATATATGAATTTATTTTTCGATTCCTTGTAAAATTTTAAGCATATTTCATATAACATACCATATACCTAAATTCAACCGTTTCTGAAATATTTAAATTATTTTTAAGATAATAAGTTGAAATAGTTTGTCTTTCTCTGTCTGAGTACGCCATTTTTACTTATTTAACAACACATATTGACATAATGTCACTATAGTAATTTATTTTCAATACAAATTTTGGCTTCTTGATTTTTAACAGTTTAAAAAAAACATTTAATGATGACATTTCGAATGCGAATATTTCAGAAACGGTTGAGTTTAGGTATATGGTTTGTATATAAATTATGCTCAGAATTTTACAAGAAATCGAAAAATAAATTCAAATATAGGGTGATCCATTGAAAAAAAATAAACTTTTTGTTTTTCCCTGTATACTGATCAATTTTCCAATTTTCTTTATACGTAGAAAAAAAGTATTTTTTAGTTCCTACATAACCACACTTTTAAATTTGTTGTGACACTTAAAATAAAAAAGTTAAAGGCGGGCGACATTATAGGGGATCACCCTGTACATAAAAGTAATAAATGGGCATGTTCGTCTCATAAAAGCCAAATTACAACTGAACGCTTGATTACGTAAAGGGATTATAATTATTTCTTATTAACAAAAACAACCAAAAAAATGGGTGAGTCAGACCTGCGCGATAAACATATTACTTTAAGGGTGACGAATTTCTTAATTATATATTTGTTATTTATTATTTTATTAATAATCAAATAATGTAATTTCGATTATAGTTTAAAAAATTACCCACCATTTTGAGTAATTAGGGTTTAAAAATTGTGTTATTTTCTAAAGACGTTTTGAAAATAAAATCTTAAATAAGAAACTGTTTTATCCTTATCGGTTGATATTTTTGTTGAAAATATTTAACACAAAAATTATAGATATTAAACTAAAAATTACAAAAATCTAAACAAAATTTTGACCTACCCCTTACAAAAACGAACTGATCTTTAAAAAAGAACAGGTTTCATCTTAATTTAAAATCAATGAACTATATATATTATATTGATATATTGATTTTAAACAACAAAAAACTATTTAAATTTTCTAAAAGTTAAAATCAAAGACGATTTTATAAATAAAAGTGGACTAAACAAGTTTTAGTTAAAAAAACTTAAAAATTAGCGAATATTTATTTAAAAAATCCCTAATTTCGATGCCTTTATAAAGCTTGTGGAGAACAAACCCGACAGTTGGCAAGAGTGGTCCCCAAGAAACAAAAAGTTAGCAACACTGGAGAAAAATGTCAATCATAGATAATAAATAAGAGTTGGAGTAGCGAGCGGTACCCAATTTTTACAATTTATAGTTCGGGGAGTAGCACTGAAAACGATGCGTTTACAGCCTGATTTACAGATTCCCCTCATCCTTCCTCCTGTAAAAGATGAACAATACGAAAACCGCAGTGCTGTTTATAGATTCCCGTACGGAAATCTATAAATAAAACGGTTTTCGTATTGTTCATCTTTTACGGGATGGCAACATTGCACAGCAGTGTCGCCAATAAGAGAATATTTATATTCTCCGCTATTTTGAATAGTTTAACAACTTTTATATATAACCTGTATGATAAAGGTATGTATCTTTGAAATTGGAGTTATTGTCACAACAAACGTCTTTTGAAAATATATAATATATTATATAATTTAATAAAAAGCTGTCTTTATTAAAATTCCAACTTATTGGTAAAAAAGGGGAAAAAATGTGGGCTCCTGCTTCTCAAAAACCTATACGTTATCTGTACTATAATTTTTCTAAAAAATACTATAATTAAATTGAGAAAATACTATAATGTGCATCTCAAGAGTTGGCAACCCTGGCGGTACGTCAGTGTATGACGAATTTCATCCATTACGTCACTAGCGTGCCCGTAAAAACTACATTGCAGGTGAAAATTATTTTATTATCTCAATACAAAAATAGAAAAGTATTAAATAGTTTCTTGAAAAGATTATAAGAACGTTTGTACTGACCTTTTGATTTCGCTGTAGTAGTGCAGTTAACTAGATTTAACTGATAAAGTGTTAAAAATTTTGCGTACAGTAGGTACCCATAAAACATTCTTTTTTTTACCTGGCGGCACGTCAGTGTATGAAGAATTTCATCCATTACGTCACTAGCGTGCCCGTAAAAACTAAATTGCAGGCACTAACGTGCACGTAGTCACTGCGAATAATATATGTAATTAAATGAATAGGTATTTCTTATATATTTTTTAATAATAGTTTACGTGGATGTATAGAATAGTACATTGCATACATTAACTAAATGTACACATTAACTTAAATATACCTAAAGTTCATTTTTTTATCTGGACTGCGGCAACGTTGCAAATTTAGGGTTTTGGTTGGTAAATACAGTTGTCAAGTTGGTCGCATTGATTAAAACAAACTAAGCTAGTTAAAAATCTAATTGTGGTTATATATAAATTATTGTAGGTTACATTGTGCAGTTGTCAAGTTGAGTTGTCGAAATTCGTAGTTAAAAATGCAATTAATTTGGCTTTGGTGGTGCTTGGATGAGTAAAATCTTAGTTAAATATAGGTTGCTTTACGGCCCAGAAGAGAAAGTATTCCTGGCGGATAATAATCTTCGCTTTGAAAAGAATTTATATAAAAGAAATTAAAATTTTTTGTGAACGTAAATGTTGTCTAATGGTGAATAATGTGAAAATAATGTGTGATGTAATATTTATAAAACCAAATTCGTTACTTTTTTACTCCAAAAATATCCATAAGGCGATGTACTTTTTCTTTCATTGTGGCATATTTGGCAAAATTTCATCAAAATTTTGCCCTCAAAAGGCCTTTTAAATTCGAATTCGTTGCTATTATTTTGGGCATAATTATCTTTTTATTTATAATTGAAAAGTAAATTATCAATAATAAATATTATTGTCAATTTGACAGTGTCAAACATAGATAACAAAGTGTCAAAGTATTTAATTAAATTTTTTAGCAGAAGTACCATTTTTAAAGAGCCCAGATAAAAAAAAATGAACTGTACCTATATCACAGACCTATTATAATTTATAATACATATGCATAGTATATTTTTATTAAGTTGGTGGCTTATGCCAGTTTGATTTAGTATTTTTAGTATTTAAAAAATGGTACTTCTGCTGAAGACCTTATTGTATTAACGTCATAATATGGACACAAGAATATTTTGCCAATTTTGCAAATTTAATTGAGATCTAAACATTTCTTTATTTTTATTACTAAAAGATCTTTTTGTTTCATAGTTAACTTTGGTCTCATTTGAAAATAGAAGTTTTACATATTTGTGATCTGATATGTGATGATCAGATACATTAGAGATATATATAAAAAAATTTACATGATAATATAAAAATGGAAAAACAGATCGTCCGTAGCATTGGTACAATTTTAAGCATCAAACGAAGTATATTGGGAGAATGAAAATAACTTTTATTATAAAAGATTTAATATTAGTTTTAACCATCACCAAACATTTATTAATAAAAATAAACGTATATGATTTAGATTTGCACACATGTAAAGGATAAATTATACAATAATAAAATAATTATCACACATCTAAACAACAATTATTATAGCCAATTTATAAAATAAATAAACCACTTAATGTTAACAGTTTTCTTATTAAAATATGATTCGAATATTAGTAAATAAACTATACATGCAAATAATTATATATGTAATATGTAATTATTAGTCACAGAATAAAAAAATAACATATAAAAGTTTAAAAATATTTGTACATTTATCCTTTGTTTTGGGTTTTATTGTGTTAATCCTTTAATTATGGTTGCAAATGCCACTTCAAGCGTTTTTTTCCATGCTTCAATTTGGTCTTTATTCATGAAGGTACTGAAAAGCTCTATGATGACATCTTTTAAGTCCTAAAAATTAAAATAAATGATTATTAATTATACAAATCAATTATTTAAATGTAAGCGTTTAATTATTATTTACGTAATACCCAAGTTGCATATTTTTTACTTTAAATTGTAATATTAATAATAATAATATATTTATCTTCTGTAGACAATACGTCATTACAAGTAGAAAAAAAAATAAAGACATACAAAACAACAATCACATAAAGAAGAATTAATTAATTTTAAAATACCTAATCAATTAAATAACAAATGGGCGATTCCATGATTACTAACGGGACAAACAAAAACAAGACAAAATGTTTTATGAAAATTTTAAAGATGTGTTGTTCATAAAATAATAATTTTATAATAGTTGTTATTACTTAATTTCATTGCTGAGGACTGGCATAAAATTATTATTATAGGAACAACACATCTCATCAATTTTCATAAAATATTTTGGTTTTTTGCTTGTCCTGTTAGTAATCGCCCAAATACGATTTTAGAAGAGAGATTTACATTTAAAAATTGATTCGGCATTTTTTATTGGCTTTGTAAATCCTTTTAAACTTGTTATATACTATTGATTAATGTATTGTTTACTCAACGGTGATACCAAAACTTACGAGATCTTTTAAATGGTTATTTTTTGTACGGGAATTAAAACTATGAACATTCGAGTTCTTGTAAAAATTATTTCTATATAAATTTATATAAATACTTAAGTCAAAAACAACAATACATGACAACGCGTTGCTACTGTAAAATACCATACAGCTTAAAAAGTGTCTTGAACGAATAGTTTAGCGGTTATCTAGGCTAGATTATCTAGCAATACATCGTACAATAATTGAATACGTCAATGCAGAAACTGAATATGTCCTACCTATCTAGTTTTGGGATAAATAAGAAAAACTGAACAGAAAGTGGACATATGTTCTGGACATATTCAGTTTCTCTACTATATTAACGCCTTTGTATATTCTAGATTACCGTGACATGTGAAATTTCTACGCCATTCGATCGGGCTCCCTTTACTTATAGTAAATCCATGTTTAACTCAATAGCCCTAAAAAGTGGACATATTCAGTTTCTGCATTGACCTATTCAATTATTCTTTTCTGACTTACAAACACAGAATTAGTAAAAGATCCCTAAAAGCAAACTTCATAACGAAATCTGGAACTAACTTGATCATAATATAAAGTTAGTAGCTGTTCTAGTAATAATATGGATTTATATGGTTATTTTTTGTACGGGAATTAAAACTATGAACATTCGAGTTCTTGTAAAATTTATTTCTATATAAATTTATATAAATACTTAAGTCAAAAACAACAATACATGACAACGCGTTGCTACTGTAGAATACCATACAGCTTAAAAAGTGTCTTGAACGAATAGTTTAGCGGTTATCTAGGCTAGATTATCTAGCAATACATCGTACAATTCTCTTCTGACTAACAAACACAGAATTAGTAAAAGATCCCTAAATGCAAACTTCATAACAAAATCTGGAACTAACTTGATCATAATATAAATTTAGTAGCTGTTAGTAATAATATGGATTTAAGGTTTTTAAAAAGATAAACAACCGAACTTAATTTCGTTAAGAAGACACATTGATTTTTCCAGTTAAAATTTTCAACAATTATGATGAATGATAATATTTTACATTGTTTCTATTTTTATATTCAGCCCATCATGTCCTTAAGTGTGAAACCCCACAAAATTGTGTTGCCCACTAGTGGGCAATAATTATTGATTATAATCAATAACTTTAGTAGTGAGTTTTAAAGAATAATAAACTTTAAATAAAAGACCGCTTGAAGATAAAATAACTACGTTTTTTTCGGAAAGTCATAATTGCAAAAAAGCAATACATGTTTAAATGTTAATTAAAATATCCATCCATTTTGTTTTAATTTGTAAAAGTTGTAGGGGATTTGCCTAACTTTTTATAAAGTTCATTTTTTCCACGAAAGCAATTTTTTTAAATAAAACTGTTATTGCCACAAATTCCCGTTGAAAATATGTAAAGGTGTATATGACAATATACAGGTTAATACATTTTTTGAAAATATTATGTGTGGTAAAGTAATTTTTTCCTAAAAATGTAAAACAGATCGATGAATCGAAAATTAATTTTTTACGTGATTTTAATTATTTAGTAAGTTTTACGAACATGTGCCAATGACAAAAATGGTTTAAAATAAAAAATAAACAAAGTCAACAAATTATAGACATTTTAGCCTAAAATTTTTAGGTGTTTTTCCTACCAGAAACGCTTCCTCCGTGACCCCTCTCGGTTTGTGAGTTTCCCCAACTTTCAAGAGTGTAGTAACTAGCAGTTCTGTGTTGTCAAGCGAATCTATGATGGCATTAAAGCCGTGTATTACTTTGTTGCAGTGAGCTTGAAATCGTTTATTTTCAGGTAAATCTTTAAGGGGTATATCCTTGAAAGGGAATAACTGCAGGTATTTGGGATTTTTTTCAAATAACCTAAAAGCAGAAAAAATATTGTTTAATTTCAGAATCCATTTTAGCACTCTCTAAAAATGAATTAGTCAAAAGTAACTAATTTAATAGTTAATAGTGGCTGCTTTTTCACTTGTGCCATGGTTAACCATGGAATACCATGGTATCCCAAAATATAACAGTCAATTCTTATGTAAAATTTTCCCCTGAATCAGAAAATACCGTCAAAATTTAAAAAAGTAGAACAGTTTTTGAGAAATAGTCAATTCCATATTAAATGGAAAATTGACTATATCTCAAAAACTGTTCCACTTTTTTAACTTTTGACGACTTTTTCGGATTCAGGGGAAAATTTTACATAGGAATTGGATGTTAAATTTTGGGATACCATGGTATTCCATGGTTAACCATGGCACAAGTGAAAAAGCAGCCACTATTAACTATTGAATTAGTTACTTTTGACTAATTCATTTTTAGAGAGCAGTGGCATGTTAATTTTAATTTCGGATTATGAAAAAGAAAAAGCACTTAACTGCTTCCCTAAATAAGCAGGGAAGTTTTTTCTTTTTCACTATCTAAAATTAAAAAACAAAAGAAGAAATAAAATTTTATGCAAAAAATCTGAAAAATTAAAATAAAACTTAGTTTACAAAAACAGCAAAAAAATATGTTATTTTAAAACAAGGACGAGTTGTTTTTGTTGGGGACAATAAGTGTTAATTAGTATAGCACGGGTTCCATTCATTTGTAAATCCATTAATTAAAAAGCTTTAGTAACGGAAGTTAGATGAATATCATGAATCCATAATAATTAACTTCAAAAAATAGCACAAACAAACGTATAAATACGATTACTAATTAGTCCAAAGTAAATTCTGAAACGAATAATATATTAGCCGTCCAGATTAATTAGGCAAAGGAAGCATTTTATTATATTATATATATATATATATATATATATATATATGTACACTCTTATTTAAATATCTTTGTAAGGTTAACTAATTTAGTTGGTTTTTGATAAATCATATATATATGATTTATCAAAAACCAACTAAATTAGTTAACCTTACAAAGATATTTAAATAAGAGTGTACTATGGGTGATTCTACAAAACTTGGGCAACTTTTGACCTCATTTTGTTTATATAATTTTCGGAGAAAATTAAACAGTATTTTGTTATGAGAACATAGATAATATAATAAATATACTGTTCCAGACCGGGCCAGTCACTTTTTCAAACAGTTTCTGAAATATCTGTGTTTTCTAAATTTGAATTCAAGGGAAGTGACGAGTATACCAGGGTACTAATTAAATACATAATTTATTGGAAAATATAAGATTTATTGCAACTTTGAGCATATTATACATTAATGATCTTAAAATCAAATATTACCACACATCAGTGGCGTCTGGTGGATTTTGGGTATACCGATATCTCAATTATTAGATATGGGGCAAAATTTGCCAAGTGTACCAGGTGAAAAAAATGTTGTCACCGATTTTGTTTAAACTTTACTTATTTGTTGTTCTTATAACGAAGAATCATAGCATAAATTTTTTTTGCTCTAGGATTGTTCATTCAAGAGTTATGGATTATTGAAATTTATCGATTTTTTACTTTTTGGTGAAATCGCTTTTTATTTAAAAATTCATAACTTCTGTTCATCTCTTTATTAAATATTTCAATTTAACCACCTTAAATGATTTTTTCCGTACTTTTCAATGGGCTATACCGTTTTTGCAAAAAAATAAAAATTGCAATTTTTTTTGAAATTTTGCAAAATTTTGCATTTTTTGAAACAATGTGTATTTTTTATTTTTTTTTAAAATAGCCTAAAATCCAAGTTTATTATGTTACCTTTGAATAAAAAAAAAATTTAGAGTGGGCCCGACATGTAGAAGGGAAGTTTTTCATATTTGAATGCGTGCGGGTCTAGCCATCGAATAGCTACTACACTGCCTTATGCGTTTAAACCTAGTAGATGCGAGTAAACGAATACAAAATGATAATTTAAAATGTAAAATTATGTTTGAGTAGTCAATAATGTATTTTAAATATTTACACTGCCGCACGATATAGTTTTTTTATTGTATATTAGTCCTTCGGAGGGGACTTTAAGCCCGCGGTCCGTTCCTACCCCTAACCCGCACAAGTCATTCAGTTGGCTTATGGGACTTCTTAAGAAGTAAGGGTGGAACTAAAAGAGCACTTTTGTATATAAACTGTATTTTTTTGCACAAATTGTTTAAGCATGATTTCGCAAGGAGGGTCGATGATATTAAATAAAAAATGTATTGTTATAACCGTAAAGGCGCCATTCAGCTTATAGGCAAGCCGTTACGGTTATAACAATAAATTTTTTATTTAATATCATCGATCCTCCTTGCGAAATCTATGTAGACCCATGCTTAAACAATTTGTGCAAAAAAATACAGTTAAAAACTATATCGTGCGGCAGTGTAAATATTTAAAATACATCATTGACTATAGTCAATGTACTATCAGTATACTCAAACATAATTTTACATTTTAAATTATCATTTTGTATTCGTTTACTCGCATCTACTAGGTATAAACGCATACGGCAGTGTAGTAGCTATTCGATGGGTAGACCGTGCGGCATTCAAATATGAAAAACTTCCCTTCTACATGTCGGGCCCACTCTAAATTTTTTTTTTATTCAAAGGTAACATAATAAACTTGGATTTTATGCTATTTTAAAAAAAATCTATGTAGACCCATGCTTAAACAATTTGTGCAAAAAAATACAGTTAAAAAACTACATCGTGCGGCAGTGTAAATATTTAAAATACATCATTGACTATAGTCAATGTACTATCAGTATACTCAAACATAATTTTACATTTTAAATTATCATTTTTTATTCGTTTACTCGCATCTACTAGGTATAAACGCATACGGCAGTGTAGTAGCTATTCGATGGGTAGACCGTGCGGCATTCAAATATGAAAAACTTCCCTTCTACATGTCGGGCCCACTCTAAATTTTTTTTTTATTCAAAGGAACATAATAAACTTGGATTTTATGCTATTTTAAAAAAAATTAAAAATACACAATGTTTCAAAAAATGCAAAATTTTGCAAAATTTCAAAAAAAAATTGCAATTTTTATTTTTTTGCAAAAACGGTATAGCCCATTGAAAAGTACGGAAAAAATCATTTAAGGTGGTTAAATTGAAATATTTAATAAAGAGATGAACAGAAGTTATGAATTTTTAAATAAAAAGCGATTTCACCAAAAAGTAAAAAATCGATAAATTTCAATAATCCATAACTCTTGAATGAACAATCCTAGAGCAAAAAAATTGTATGCTATGATTCTTCGTTATAAGAACAACAAATAAGTAAAGTTTAAACAAAATCGGTGACAAAATTTTTTTCACCTGGTACACTTGGCAAATTTTGCCCCATATGGGACCCACACCAAATTTATATGAGTTTATAATGACATTAAATAAACAAGGTCTGCGCAAGCAGAATTTAAATTGAAGTTTGCGAAAAAAAGATAACCGAAACATCGAACATGGAACTAACGACACGGTACTGATAAATGGGATACAAATTTGAGATTATAATTCGGAATTAAGTATTTTACTGATATTTTTTATTAGAGGATGCTACTTATCAACAAATCACATATAGCCTTATATAAATTACAATACAATATACAGGGTGTCCCGAAATTAGGGGACAAACTTAAACAGTGCATTCTTCATAGAAAAGTAACACTTTTTTGTTAAATAAACATGTATCAAAAAATGCCCCCTAAAGGAGCTAAGGCCCCCTGAATAGGAGCCTAAGAGAATAGTTTTTTTAAAACTATTCCTAGAGCGTTAAACATGAAGAAATGAAATTTTGTCACTTTGGTAATTTTTAGATGCTGAATCAAGAACTAAGATCAAAACTGTTAAAATTTAATCATAGGCGTAACATTTGGGGGGGGAAGTTATAAAAATAGCCCCAACTTTTTTCCGAGATAATATTTTAATTTTTTTATGAAATTATAGAAACTTATAGTTTTTTACGAAAAATAGGTAGTCTTGATTTGAATCTCTCAGATGCACCAGTTTCGAGAAAAATGCATTTATAAATTACTCTGCATAGCATACACATCTCATATTTTCGTTAAAATGTTGTGTTAAAATTTGGAAAATCGCTCCATAATAAAAAATAACAAAATTAAGTTAAAAAATATTAACTAAACTATAAAAATAAATGTAAAGTCAGCAAATAACCCAAACGTCACTTTTGTCCCAAAGCTTTTTAATGAAAATATTGGAAATTATGCTAAGCATAGTAATTTAAATTGCAATTTTCTCGAAAATGGTGCATCTGAGCGATTCAAAGCAAAAGTACCTATTTTTCGTGAAAAACTATCCATTTTCATAATTTTATAACAAAACATTAAAATACTCACTCTGCAAAAAGTTGGGGCTGTTTTTGTTAATTTGCCCCCTCAAATGTTACGCCTATGATTAAATTTTAACAGTTTTGAATATAGATCCAGATTCAGAATGTCAAAATTACCAAAGTCCCAAAAATTCAGGTCTTCATGTTCAACCCTCTAGGAATAGTTTTAAAAAAATGATGCTCTTAAGCTCCTATTTAGGGAGGCGTAGCTCCGTTAGGGGGCATTTTTTGATATATGTTTATTAAACAAAAAAGTGTTATTTTTCTATAAAGAAAGCACTGTTTAAGTTTGGCCCCCTAATTTCGGGACACCCTGTATATACGTAAGAAAATAACCACTCACCACAGTACTGAAATTTTGACTGGAACTATACGAGCATTCACCACAACTTCGCCGCTTGCGTTGTTTTCAAGATGAATGTCGTGCAAAGGGCGGGCTCTGTAGGTAATTTTTAACCAAAACTTGAGTAAAAACGAGGACTTAACGTTTAAACTTCAATATTTCGCAGAAATTTTGAATTTTAACATTGGACACAGAACTGACGGGTAAAAGTGAGTACAAAGATTATCAATTTTTTAAAAATTGCTAT